AAACATTAATAAAATAATTAGATTACATATTATATTATGGTATATATATTATATAATTTTTATATGGAAAATATTGAGATTAGCCCACTAGCTCATATGATATATGAATCCGACGGTCTAGATTAAATCTAGACCGATCTAACGGTCACGAACTCAATTTGTGTTGGAATTTTAATTTTTTTTATATAAATCCAAATAACTTGAAATTTAGGGATCCATTCTTCTCATCAAGGTGCACCTAATAAAAATATTTTAAAAATAATTCGTAATAAATAAATTGACCAAAATACCTCCGAAACGTTTCAGGGGCATTTTGGTTAATTTTTTAATATAAATTATTTTTTTTGATATTTTTATTAGATTATCTCATTTTTTTAATAACACGTATATAATTGTAAGTTATTTAGATATATAAAAAATAAATTAAAATTTAAATATAAAACAAAATTGTAACTATTAGATCGACATAGATTCAATTTGAGTCATTAAGCTAGTTGTGATAATTTCCTTTGAACTAAAAATATGGATTAACCGGATTTAATTATCCACCCGCGAATGTGCTATCCAAACTTTAACTAGAAGAGTCCAATCCAGGTACCCAAACATGCCCTAATTCTTGGATAGCCGTATCCTGGAGAGTCGTACCCCAGGCCCTAGGTCTTTGTGGAGACACGCACCCATTATGGTCAAAGAGAATGTCGTCATGCATTCCGCAACCAGCTCTTTTATATGCCCTAATCGTTATCCATACCGACTTCGTCATAGAATGCTCCTGAGAGAGCACACTGTATAATAACTCTTGTAAACAAAATAGTTATTTGAGGACATTTTTTGGGAAATTTTATCACGTTACGTTAGCATGTTTGTCATTCTGAAAGTATTTTTTCAGATTTTAAAAAAGCTATCTGTTTGTATCACACTTTCCATCTAAATTTCGAAAATTAATCTTTCAACAAAAGTTCCCAATCTTTTGTTAAAAAGTGAAAGAATAAGTTTTTAATGAGTGTTAAAACTAAATCTTTCATAAATTTTTTTGTTGAATGTTATTTACTATGCATAATATAAATATATAAAATTAGGATTATTAATATAATATAATGTAATATTTTATTAATATAATATAATATTTTATAATATTATATTATATAATTTATATTAATAAAATAAATATATATAT